ACCGTCGAGCCTAGTACTTTACGCCAAGTGGTCCTAGAGCAGATGCACCAACAAGCCTCGAGGCGAGGGGGGGGGGGTCCCCCTCTCTCCCGCACGTACATACATATCAACAAACACACACACCCACACACACACTCACACACAAGGACGCTCGCTCGACTCAGGCAACACAAACACGTCCCCCCGTCCAGCAATCCTTTTGGGAGAACGCAACCCCCCGCACTTGAGCGTTCAAGAGTTCTGCAGCACGGTAAGGACTAATTTTTAGAAGATGATACTACGCAGCACCATAGCAGCCCCTACCCCCGTAAAGTTACATGTTCTCCAGTTAAAGCGTACTGTAAAGTTTGAAGTTCGCTAATTAAAAAAGGAGCTTGGTTGAAACGCTTGAATCAACTCAAACATGCCGCCACGCCCCGCCACGCCCCGCCACGCGCCCGGGGATCCCCCCCTTGCCAACTCGTTGTACGTACACGAGAAAAAATACTCGCAAGATACCCGCGACAACTCGCGAATACTCGCGTAAACTCGCGGATGCTCGCCAATACTTTCGAATACTCGCGGATACTCGCGCATCTCATTGTACACCCACTTGGAGAGTGGAGGACCCGTCGCCCTCGCTCCCCGCGCCGCCCAGCGCCCCACCGGGCCCCACCGGTCTGATGATAAAAATTCAAGCAGGGTGTCCCTCTCCCGCGGTCCACTCGTTGGTATCTCGAAGCTGGACAAGTTACAGTACCGGTTTTGGGCAGGCTGCAACATTGTATCGACCGCGGGAGTAGAGGGGGACACTGCTTCAACGATTATCATCAGCATCATCAGCCTGGCTGGCTCGCGCCTCGCTGGCTCGCGCCCGGCTCCCTTGAGACGACTGCCCCCCCCCCACCTGAATCGCGCCTGCGTTAGGAAAAGAAGGAAGTTTGCGTTCGTGGGATCACTTCTACTTTTGATGTTTTACAAGCACCGCTCAGCCGAGTTCGTGCGTGAATGAATAAGGTAGTCCATCCTATCTCTTACTTTGGTTTATAGAGGTTATCCAAGTTAGTCCAAGTAATGGATCCAAACAAATGATGAGGGCACTTTGCACAAACTGAGACACACTACTGGTATCGGTACAGTAGCCAACTGAAGACTGGCGCGGAGACACGCTGACATGCAGACCTTAGATAGATTATTGGTCCGGTCACGCATCGACGCATCGCCGCCGAAATGTCCGGCCTCGCGCATGCGTGGGTGGGTGGGGGTAAGGCTACGCTGCCTCGAAGCTGAGCCCGAGGAAAGAGGCGGAGCCTGTGGATTCGGGATGCGAGTGGAGAGGAGGGAGAGACAGAGTGAGAAGAGAGACAGAAAAGAGAGTGAGAA